AATATTATGTATTTATAGGCAAAGCGTAATGACGTGTCGCGCGATCCCTTCTTTCGCCGTTGTTAACTTCGCATGTTTGCACTTATTATCATTTTCAATTTTGCCATTTTCTCTCACCAACAGTCACGTATTGACGGTAATTGCACCGACATGAAAGAAGTGAGGAAAAATCGAGTCTCAGAATTACGCGTCGCACGGGTTGTATAATCGAATCAAATCGAGTATAAATTGAGCCCGATCGGCAGTATACGACGTTCAGTGACGTCGGAGAATTTCAAATATAAAATTTAGTCAACAGTACAAACTAAAACGAAACGAAATAATTGTATATATGACGTTTTCTTCAGCTGTCAAAAATTCGATCTAACTGTTTAATAATACGAATAATTCTATCAGAGCAATAGCTTCGCTACACTGAGAAAAAAGTATTTGAAAACTTATTTTTAAAATATAAAATTCATATTCTTGTAAGATACAGTTAATTTCTGTAAAATAAAGTTTATTTCTGCGAAATAAACTTTTGTCCCATACAAATAAATTTTCAAGTATTTTTTTCTCAATGAATATACAACTCTAAAATTGAGTTCGCTTCTACCGACGATTTTCTTTACTGTTTGTTTTTTACTACATATACGTCGAATTACGATGACAATAATTGATCTCTTTGTAGAGATAATATTATTTTCCTCGTTCACGCCTTTTTAATACAACGCATCATCGAGGAGAAGAACTTTACCCGCTGGTATCTCTTGGGAACGTCTTACAACGTGTGGTACTAGGGACTTTCACTTCAAATACTTCCAAAGTAGGCGATTTATCTGTCGATCGTGCTGTTATCTTACTAGATCAGGATCGTCCGCGCGATGACGTAAGGGTCCAATAATGTTGCTCGATTCAACAACGTTCGTCTCGTAAACTGCGCAGCGTTATCACTCGCGACTGCACCTTCTGTTATGTTTGAGGAAGGCCAGTAATCGTAAGACGGATGTATAGCGGATATGTACAGTTATCGATCATGCGACACGTGCCGGTCTAGACAGATTGACACGGTAACCTATCGGTCAGCCAATAATAGCGAAACCTTAGCGGGGCATGGCATGGCTGCCGGTCTTACGCATTGTGGAACACCTCAAGAGTATGCTAACAAATCCAACGAATTCGACCCAGACAACTCACCGAGTTTCCAAGATCTTGAGCGGGAAAATCTTGACGTGGGAACGTCGCGTCGTGAAGCACTACTCTGATTTCCTTTTGACTTGGTCAAAATAAAATCGTAAGCATGTCATAGAACATATCATATATCGCGAGTAATGCTGTCAGCGTGTATTTCTATACCCGAAATCAAAAGGAAATCTTGTATTTTCTTTATATAAACTTTTCTTTTTTAAGAAGATCGTATATTCTTCTTTACATAAATGTATTCTCCTTTTCTCAATTTACGTGCAAAAATACACGAAACTCTCTGTCAGATATTCCATATTTTATTTTGATATATTCTGATATAAAAACTAAATATTCCACGATCTACTTTTTTTGCTATCGAATTTTAATAAGATATCATCTTGATATTTTTATGCGTAAAATAAAAAATTGAAGAATACAATCTCGAAGGAAAAATCAACAGTAATAATAATAGAAACTAATAATCTCTCTGATACTCTGGTACTTGGAAAATTGACACTAATAATCACGATAAAAAGCCTGTACGCGGGATATTCAAAAATTCGAATATATCCTCAAGTCGGCGAGGAAGATGTGCCTTCCGAATTATGACAAATGCGGAAGAAACTTTCTTTCAAAGCTACTTTTTACACGCGCGAGCTCTTTTGCGCCGCGAGAAATCGCTCGGGAACATGAGGATTCGCCGTCAAGGGTAACCGGAGAAACGTATCTGTCTGAGGCAGTGTCTCCGTGTGGCGCGACGCGATGATAGCGACGTGTCCTTCGGAATGTCGCAATGAGCGCCGACGAATCGGCCCGTAGTACTTTGACAGCGCGAAGGAACGACAGCGACATCTTCGCAAGACGCTCCGCGACGCGTATTCCGGTTTCGACAGCGCGCGCGTTTCGTTAGCGGGCGACAGTCATCCGTCATCTGGATTCGGTTCGTCGTCCAATTAACCGCCGTATACGAACGACTTGGTTTCGTCTCTCTTCCATAACTCGGCTACGCTCGCGTACTTCCCCTTGTTCTTCCTCCCCTCCTTCTTTCTCTCTTTCTCTTTGTCTCCTCCATTTCTCTATCTCTCGACGCGACGTTGAAACTCGGACGCCTCTCCGCGGTTCATTCATCATCCCGCACGGCGAAATCCACATAACTGGAACACCTTTCATCCATCACGTCTGCCGGCGCGGTGCGGCGACCCGCCGCCGGAGATCCAAACGACTTCATCCGGTTCCATCCGTGAGATCCCCGCGCCGACGTCACCGGCCCCGGAGAGTCGGTACTTTCGTCATAATCATCGTTATTAACATCGCGCCGTGCTCGTTGACGCTTCTTTGCAATTATCTTAGGTATCATCGTACGGTCTATTTGTCGGCCTCGTGGGGGCGAGAACGCGGGACGGAGAGGGGAGGAGGTCTTCATGAAGTCCTTCCTCGCCGTTCTCTCGCCCCCTTTACTTCCCCCTCCACCCCAACCCTCATTCCGCGAGAACGCCGCTTCCCGTTTCCGTCGCAACAATTACTTAGGAATGAAGTCCGAAAGTAGTCGCGCGCGGGCGGACGCTGAGAAAGGCGACGGGGGAGGTTATAAAGGAGTACGAGGCGAAGGGAATCGTCGCCGTCGTCGTCGTGGCTCGCAGTGCCGCGGTCTCGTGAGACGGCAACGCGAGCGGTTAGCTAAGTACCGGTAATTTATTGGCTCTCGCACGCGCGTATCGCGCGGCGTTATTAATCCTCACGAGCGTGAATATTAATCCGACAAAAACAAATCTAGCTAACACGATCTCTCGCGGTAGGTAGGCCGACAGACAGACAGACAGGTAGGCCGGCAGGTAGGTAGGTAGGTAAATAGATAGGTAGGTAGGTAGGTAGGTGTAGGTAGATAGGTAGGTAGGTAGGTAGGTTCTCACGTAAGAACTTTCTACCCTCGAGTGACACGCGTCTAAAGATCGCTAGAGAATTTCTCTATCGGTAGCCGTCGGCGAGAATTCGAATGGCACGCATATACACAGCGCGCCCCACGTGTCTCGTTTCCTACGTCTCTCGCGTCGTTTCTCTCGCGAACATCAACGGAACACGCCCGATTATGCGGAATCGCGCGCGTGTCCGGCGTAATAACAAGCGGCGCATCTCATTTTGAGATTATGTCGCGCGGGAGAGCGACTCGAGAGAGTGGCGGTCCCCTCCTTCTCTCTCTTTTTACATGGAGAAAATATTGTGGTAGAAATTGCAACAAAATTTTTGTAATGTTGAACCGTACAGAATTATGACCGAGATTGCTGTTGCAAAAATATTACGCACGTTTGATTTTTTTATTACAAAATCATGTACTTGAATATTTTTCATATCGTATATCAAGTAGATCGTCGAATTTATTATTTTTATACACGGACAGAATAATGTAATAAAAATTACAATTTCATTAGTTTATGAATAGACTGGCATTATTACGAAAATTATAATAAAACATAGCAAAAATGATAATTACTATAACCATAAACATGATAATTTTCATTTATGGTAATTTTTATTATATTTACGATCACTTTACTATGTCGTATTATAATTTTTATCATAGTCTATTCCCGAAGAGTATTAAAATTGTATTATAATTTTTATTACAATATTCTCTCCGTGTAGTAATTTACCGCACTCTCAGTTCAGTTTTACAGAAAATATTGCGTAAAGACATAATTTTGACGTAACTTTTAAATGCAATATTTTCTCCGTGTGTATCTCTATCCACCTGTCTTTTGGTTCTCGGCTCGTGGACTAACAGACAGCGCGGCGAATTTCGCACCTTCCGCAAAATTTCGCCCGCGAATACGACTGCGGCCGAATCAATCCCGCAGAGCCGTCGGCGAGGGACGCGCGTCGCCCGCCGCCTCCGTCGCCACCGAGATCAAATCCTCATCTTCCTCGAGCCGCCGTAAAGCCGTTTATTGCGCGCCGCTGCGCCTTATTATCCGCCCGCGTCGCGTTGCGCCGCACTGCGTCGCACCGAAATACATCTCGGCCGCGTGTGTCTGTGTCCGGGCTGTGTGTACGAGAGCTCGTGGCGGACTCGCGCGTGGCGTCGCAAAACGGAGAACGGGGTCACGGGCGATATCGCGGCTCTAGCTAGGACCGGCAGATCCGCGTTACGTGAACGTTCAATCTGAGAGAGGAATATAATCACCAGAGGCGTAGAGGCCGATAAACAAAAATTGCATTGTGCAATGACGGCACATAATAGTCGCGTTTGCGCAATAGTTGCGATTGAATTCGAGCGATCGTGGTTTGCCTCTTGTGCTTTCCGTCGTGCACGAATGTACGTCAGTAAGCGAATTGTATTCTGCACTCGCGGCGACACTTGGCGAAGTCTCTCTCACGAAGAGCGAAAGAAACAACCTGCCGCGCGCAGAAAGTCGCGATCGACTCTGCGTCGGGTCGCCTCTGCGCACCGGACTTTCGATATCGATCCTCATGTGTTGGCAGCTGGTATTATAATTCAAATGATAATTCGGGCCCAACGCTGACAGTGAATTCTTGGCCGAGCATTCGTGTTATCGTGCACCGGCTAAAAGTGCACTTTCCCGCGGAATTTCGCGCAATGATCTATGTTGTATAATATCAGCGCAGGTGTTGAAGTCACGCGCGTGGGAGAAACGTTTCAGAGTAAAAATGACGGATCGTATGAGAATTTCCCGCGTAAAATCTCTCCGACGAAATACGCGTGAATCCTCCTACTCTGCATTATGAAAGCTCTTCCGATATTTTTCTAATTTTTACAAACGGTCGCTACGTAAAATACATGAAAATGGCGCACTCATCGCCGTTTAACTTTTCTCACTCACCAAACATTGCCGATTCAAGGTCGGCCGCGTTCTGCCTTCAATTCTGTAACAAAAAGATAGCGTTGCTGATTAATTCTAACGGTCCAGTTTAACGGATAAGTGTGTATATGAGTGAATCGGTTCTGTGCGATCGTAATCCAACGATTTTACTTCGGAAATTAGATCCCAAGTTTTTATTGCAAAATGTTAAACAAAGGTAAGCAGGAAATGTGTATACAAACCTTCGAGCCGAGCCTGCTTGGCCCGAATTCTTCGGCACTGTATCCGCAACCACCGGAATCACGGATATCTTCGCCACGGCTACAAGCTGCACCAGATCTGAAACAAAGAATATTTTCCTAATCAATCATAATGATAGAGAAATTGCTCGATTTCGAGCTCGCTGACAACAAGAACTCGGTACAAAAGTATCACTAATACGAGATTCAAGCATAGATTATGCTTGAAGTTATCTCTCTTTTTCATACGCGTAATGAAATTAAAAAAGTACGACAATCACCCTGAAATTTCACAATTCTCGCATGACGATCAACAAAGATTCGGCATCACGTGTATCTGGCGTAATTTTATCTTCGTTTTCGTCCCTAATTCGTGTAATTATCACTGAATATCTAATTCCCGATGATCGTCCGATTCCACTCGAATGAGTCGATGGCAATAACAAGTGTTGGAGACGTCATTGAAACATCGCGACAAGCATCGGACTGTATATCGAGAAACGAGAAGATCACTCCCTAATAACATACTTACGACACCCGATGATCGCCCATCGCTATTTCGACACTCCCGGCACTCATTTGCGCGCGAGGCTCACTTTCGATAGAAAAAAAGGCATATGAAGCGCGGAATGATGTCGATCCATGCATTAATAGCGGTTGCTTTGCACAAAAGGAACGAAGATGGTCGCGCGCCTACAACGCCATCACTTAGTTCCGCGGATGCTTTCGATAAATCGATTCTCGATAGATTAAGTAGACATTTTCGACCAGCCATGTTCCTCTCTAGCTGCGTGTCTCTCATGACTATTGACTTCTCCAAGCACATATCAGTTGCACGGATGTCGATCGAGATTAGAAATTCGGTGATAATCCGAAGAGAAAAAGAGAAAACTAGGAACATTCGCGACATGATATCTTGGCAAGAGAGAGAGAGAGAGAGAGAGAGAGAGAATGAGAAAAAGAGAAAGAGGGAGGAATGTGCAGATGGCGTTGTCGTAGGAGCGCGACACTGTTTACGTCGTTACGCGCATTACCACGCGCAATCGATTGCGTTGCCATCTTGAATATCGATCTCTTTGCGTGGAGCAGCCACCATATGCGTCTTATGCGTCTTTTGTCTGTCGGAAGTGAATCTCGTGCGGAAGTAAGTGTCGGGAGTGTCGAAAATAGGGACGTGCGATCGTCGGAACGTATCGTGAGTACATTATCAGAAAGTAATCTCCTCATTTCTCAATAAACATAACTGGTCCTTGTCGCGTCGTGTCGAGTCGGCGTGTTTCTTGTTATCGGCCCGGTCGAGCAGTAATAGAATCGTCCAACTTATTAATCGGGAATTAGAAATTCGCGGTGGTAATCAGGGGGACAGATGGATAATATGAATAGGTAGGACTAGTCTATTGGCAAGGGCTGTACATTCAGTCATAGATGGCATTCATAACCACATAGCCAACAGGGTTTACTCTGTTCCACATGTTCTACATGGGTTATCGACATTCGTTTCGACATTCGACGGCTAATAAACACCCCGCGGAGCGTAACTCGCCGAGGCTCATACGTCAAGCTCGTGACGACGACGATACACGCTTCATCCCCTTACATCACCCCAACACAGAGCCCTATTTACGCGTCGCGACGTTCGCGCGCTCGCTCGCTTCGCCCGAGAACAACTTGCGGAAACTTCGAAGGACGCCTGTGCGCATTCGCGAGTGAATTTTGCGCCAACGCGGCCGCTACACGTGTCTCGCGCGTTAGTCCTAAGACGTTTATCTTCGGCGCCGTACATCGTCTGCCGTAAGCCCTTCGTCGCCGTCGCCTCATCCAACAAAAGCCATTGTTCCGAAGCGGCCCGAATAATTGTCTTATCGACGCGGCGCAACTTTGCTCGAGTTGTGTTACTTGTTGCTGCAACGGAGAGTTGCGGCTTCCTCGTCCCGCTCGCTCGTTCACAGAGCGTTTTTCTTATTCTCTAGTCTGCTGCCGCGCGATCGCGGCCCTTACGGCGTGAAAGCGCGCGCGGAACACGTCGCTGGGTCGCGATACGTTTCTCGTGTTTCAAGCGCCTCCTGGCGCCTCCCTCTGGTCTCGACAAGACTCGGTCGAAGACGGAGACGGAGGCGGTGACGGCGGCGCCGGCGAGCACCCGCGCGCTTGAAATAGTTCGTCGCGGAAAACTAGAAAATAGGATTCGTGACGCGGCTGGGACGCGCGGCGACGTGGTGGAGGAGCCGCGCTGTGCTCGCCGAGTTTCTCTCGCGCCCAAGAGAGGATAGTTCTAAATTAGGTTATTCGCACGAGGCCCGTGGCGGCTCCACACGCGGCCAAGCGAAACACCGTTCGCGCCGCGAACACCGCGCTTGCCAAATCGCGCACGGAAACTCGCCATTTCTCGTTTGTTCTCCGATTATCGTTCCGCCGGACGATTCGAAAACACGCGGCGTCTCGAGGATGTATTATTATATCGGGGACAGGGGCCGCGCGGGAATGGCGGCGCGCGCTACTTTCCGCAGTCTTAATCTCGATTATTCACGAGGCCGCGCGATCGACCGTACACAAGCACTGCCGAATATTTTATTTAGTTCCGACACGCGATACTGCCGCGGCGAGAGTATTCCCGTCCTATTCGTTCTCTCCCTTTCTCGCGCGCTCCGGGGTGCGGAAGTCGGGAATTAAGATTTAGCTTCGACCGGTCTCTCTTTCTATCTCTCTGCCGCGCTCAGCCGCGGCCATTTGTGGATCTTTTATCGCCGCCTCTGCGTAGGAGTTCACGGAAATGCACGACGCACAACGTTCCACGTGCATTAAGTCGCGATTTGCCGTCGTGCGATAACTCGCGCCGCGGAATAGCCGCTCCCGGCTTTTACCCGCCCGGCCAGCGTCGATACTCAGCCGCCCCCGACGTCTCGCATATCCCGGAGCCACTTTCGAGTTTTAAACGCGTATGTCACACGGTGCCGGCGCGTCGGAGAGATTCCCCGTGGGACGGTCGAGTGCAGAGAGCCAGAAATTAGAATTCGCGCAGAGATATCCGCGCGGGGAGGGCGACAGGCGCGCGATGGCTTTCTCATATTTCAACCCTCGACGAGCGCCGCCGAATATACGCGGGAATACGCGCGCGGCCGACTGCGGAAAACCAGTTACTAGAAAATAGGATCCGCGGCTGAGCACCCGGGGAGAGACGGGCGGAGGTGAGCGTAAATAGCTGCGCGCTCCTCGAGCTTAGCGACATGCGGCGGATCTTTTCAATTTTCGGATGCATTGTGCGCACCGGAAAGCCATTTCCCCCGGCCACTTTCTGCCGAAATTATTGAATCGTCCAGTGGGACCCTCCCTCCCTTCCTTCCTCCTCTTCCCGCCTTGTACGACTGCTTGTTTACCGACACTGGCGACTGGTCGACTGTCGTCGATGCGCGGAATTTATCATACGGCGGTCTCGTGAGACGCCTGAAAGAGAGAGAGAGAGAGAGAGAAGCTTTATCTACGATCCCGGAAAGAGCGCAAAATAATATCTATTTGCGTAGCGTCGTGCGATATTTTGCGAATAATCTCGCTTTTCTTAGAATAATAATAATCGTTTACGCACGTGAGACGCGCTATTACCGTGAGCGTGAACGCAATTACGAGGAAGCGATTAAAAAGGGGAGATCGCGCTATTCGCGGAGGCTTCGTGTAGATTTCAAGAGAAAAAGGCTCGAATTTTAAACCATGCATCATCGGCGTGACGCGGAGAGAGGCGGCGATATATCTCACAGAGCGACGGCGGCGGCGGCGGCAAGTTTGGGGTTAAGAGGCCGACTTTTAACCTCGCGGAGGCGCACACGGTAAACAGGAGGAAAATTCCATTCTCCGACGCTAGAGAGCTTCCGAGAACGCGTCGGCGTGTCGCGTGAGCGCGAAGTTGAGCGACACTGGTCGGCGACGGCGACAGCACGTGGGTGCGGGTGCGAAAAAAAGGCGATAGGGAACACGTAGGAGAATAAGAGAGAAAGGCGAGAGAGTAACGACTGCGAGAGCGTAACTTATCTGCGACACGCAGGCGGCACGCGTACGTTTACTCGTGTAAATCGTCTGGTTTACCTTTTCCTCCGTCGCTCTCTGTCTTTTTCTTCCTCTCTCCCGCCATCTCCGTCCCACTCCTCCTTTCCCTTCTTATTCTTCGTCCGCGATGTCTAACCCGCGACTAATGCGCCGGGAAAAGAACGCGCAACGTTTACGTGACGCAAGCGCGTCCACGAAAAACTACAGGTGAAACTTCGTTATCCGCCACTGTTTTCTTCATTTCGCGATGAAATCCGTCGTTTCATCGCGAGAAGCGACTCCTGGGTTGTTTTCGGCCGAGAGAGAACGCACGCGAGATTCTACGTATAATACTCTCCAAGCTTGTTTTGCGTAATTTCCTCGAGATTACCTCCGCCGTTATTTATCTCGCAAATAAATCGCGTTCCGATACAGCGCGCGCGCGGGCGAGTGAATTAGCACAAAAAGGGGAAAGCGCGACGCGACAACGATAATTCAATTTTTTCCCTCGCTTTACCTTGAAATTGCATATTTCTTGCCGGTGACAAAACGCGAGAAGGTAAAAATCAACAGAGGAGGAGCAGAGGGAGGAGGAGAGGACGAAAAATATTCGACAATGCGTCGAGCATGCGGTGCCTCCTCGCTCGATTCGCCGCGATTTCGCCCGGCAATAATTCACTCTTTAATTATGCGGAGCGCATTTAAAACGCGCTGAGAAGTCGCGCCCACCTTGCTGTTTACGTGTTGTCATCGTGCGTGTATCCCATGCGAGCTCACGGGCGCGGTGCTTTATCTGCGAAAAGTGATGAGTATTTCCTCGCGGAGGAAATAGCGCGAGGGCCGTTCTCCGCGGCTAAGTTTTATGACGACCATTGAATTATGCAAACAGGTCAATATTTGTCGTATCCCGTCGATTTGCTGTTTTACGCGTTATCGATAGCGAGCAATGGAAATCCGGACTGGGCCGCGCAACCGTCTGTCGTCCTTCGCGGACGTTTATTCGGTCTCATTAACATAGCCGCGCGCGTTTTATTTGGCGATTTATTAACGTAGGAAATCCCGAGCGCGATAACGCCGCCGCAGTCG